TTCCTACTAAGAGCAGTAGGAAATTAACAAGGAAAAAGGCATGAAGGAAGCATTCCAGTAAATAAGGAAAAAATAAAGAATTTTTGCTTAGTATACCTGAAGTCTCCCCTAGTTGCTCACTTGATGTTGATGATAAAATGCCTAACAACTGACTTTGAAAAAGAAACTAACAGGCAGGGCACGGTGGCTCACGCCTGTAATCCCAGCATGTGGGGAGGCTGAGGCAGGCAGATCACTTGAGGTCAGGAGTTCAAGACCAGCCTGGTCAACATGATGAAACCCGTTTCTACTAAAAATACAAAAATTAGCTGGGCGTGGTGGTGTGTGCCTGTAATCCCAGCTACTTGGGAGACTGAGGCATGAGAATAGCTTGAACCTGGGAAGCGGAGGTTGCAGCAAGCTGAGATCGCGCCACTGCACTCCAGCCTGGGTGATAGAGTGATACTCAATCTCAAAAAAAAAAAAAAAAGAAACTAACAGGAATATTCATTTGGACTCAAATCTAAATGATTAAAGCTATTCTTAAATACAGCAATTATTAATTATATTACTGTAAGGTTTCTCTATCCATTTTTCATTAATTCGACCATGACTTATGAAGTACTTTCTGTTGTTAGGCATTACAATATAACCTTAATTTTATGAAAACTGACATTTTTGAGAGTTTTTCATGTGCTAAACCACAGACTTACAGCTTAGCACTTTTTCATGTAACAACTCTATGAATAATACTATTTTAGTCCCATTTTACACAGAGAAAAAAAGAAATTCAAAGAGTAGAACTTGCTAAGGGATAAACAGCTAATTATAAGGGACCACACTGGAAATCAACTCCAAGTAATGACCTTACTGTTAGGTTTAAACACTCTTTCAGTCACTGTTCTAAGTGCTCACAATGAAGGCTGGGAAGTCACACACATACAATACACAAGGCAAGACTGGTTAATGATATAATAAAGATGCAAAGAAAGTGCTCTGAAAGCACAGCAGAGATAGTCATTGCCCACAAGAGGGTTTCTTAATAAGAGCAAAGTCAAAACAGCTTGATGCCTGTTGAGGTAGTAAAAAAAGTATCTAATACTTAGATATGATTAACCTGCACTGGTAATTTCATATTTTCAAATCTAGAAAATAGGAGAAGTGGCATTCAGTTTCATTTCCATTTAAAACCTGTCAGACTTTATGAGTAAAACAAGATCTCACATCTTGTAATCTTTCAAACCAAGAACAGGTAAGATATCTGCAAACACGCAAAGGGAGGAATTACAAAAACAGGACTGTCCTAAGAGAAGGCACAAAGTACCAGAAGGAATAAAAGAATTTTTCAAGGGAAACTACAAGAGGAAGATGTCATGCTCCACTTCAAGTAAAATGCAACTGAGGGATATTTTAGTCTTCACATACCATCTACCATTAATGTTTGCTATTTTCCTATCAAAGAAAAGTCAAAATCAAAAGAGGTTAAAAACAAAACTCAAGGCTGGGCGCCGCGGCTCACGCCTGTAATCCCAGCACTTTGGGAGGCCGAGGCAGGTGGATCACCTGAGGTCAGGAACTGGAGACTAGCTGGACCAACATGGTGAAATCCCACCTCTACTAAAGAATGCAAATTAGCCGGGCATGGTGGTGCATGCCTGTAATCCCAGCTACTCGGGAGGCTGAGGCAGGAGAATCTCTTGAACCTAGGAGGCGGAGGTTGCAGTGAGATGAGATCACGCCATTGCACTCCAGCCTGGGCAACAAGAGTGAAACTCCATCTCAAAAAAAAAAAACTACTCAAGAAGTAAACAATAGATTCCGCCTTTTAACGAGAGGAAAAAAAAAGGGTGATTTCAAGAGAGATAAATTTAAGGTGTATATAAGTGTCCAGGATAATGAGCATAATCAACTTAAAGAGTCAGGGATGGATAGGCTGCAAAGGAAAACCATGACTGTCAAATCCTTAAAATTCCATCAAAACTAAAGAGAGCTGAGCTCTCTTTATACTTAAAAATTATTTTTACTTTATTTACTGAATGCTTCCAGAGACCTGGAAGAAATCTGCAGCAGGCTTGGTGGGAGATTAAATCTTACTCTATGGAAACGAACTTTAAAATTCAGCAGAACTGACCAACAAGCTACGTGATGGTACAGGATGACCATCTATCTAATCCTTGGCATATTAACTGATCTCTCCTTAAAAATAATACAGAGACATTCACCAAGGTTTTATAGAGGAATGCATCCAGGTATATAAATAGGCCATCATACTGTATATGCTCTGAAGTTCACACCACTGCTTACACAGATTGTGAATGCCTTCTTAGAAAAAATTCTTAGGGCTGGGCATGGTGGCTCACACCTCTAATCCTAGCATTTTGGGAGGCATAAGTGGGAGGATCACTTGAGCCCAGGGACTTGAAATCAGCCTGGGCAACATAAGGAGACCCCTCTCTACAAAAAATAGAAAACTTAGCCAGGCGTGGTCATTAACATCTGTAGTCCTGGCTACTCAGGAGCCTAAGGTGGCAGGATGGCTTAAGCCAGGGAGGTCGAGGCTTCAGTGAGCTGTGATCATGCCACTGCACTCTAGCCTGGGTGACAGAGGGAGCCCTCATTTCAAATTTTTTTTTTTTTTTTTTTTTTTTTTTTTTGAGACGCAGTCTCGCTCTGTCGCCCAGGCTGGAGTGCAGTGGCCAGATCTCAGCTCACTGCAAGCTCCGCCTCCCGGGTTCACGCCATTCTCCTGCCTCAGCCTCCCGAGTAGCTGGGACTACAGGCGCCCGCCACTTCGCCCGGCTCATTTTTTGTATTTTTAGCAGAGACAGGGTTTCACCGTGTTAGCCAGGATGGTCTCGATCTCCTGACCTCGTGATCCGCCCGTCTCGGCCTCCCAAAGTGCTGGGATTACAGGCTTGAGCCACTGCGCCCGGCCCTCATTTCAAAAGTTTTTAAAAAGCAAAAGTTCTTAGAATTTACACTGGAGAAAGAATTCATATAACTTTAGCAAATGACAGAGAATGCAACATTATTATCCTATAATTTCCCAGTAGGAAAACCTTCTAAGGATGATGTTTTATTTCCCTCTTAAGTAGCAAGAGCAGAGAGCAATGCCCAGCTGTAAGGAAATTATAGTTGCTCACTGGGACCCTCAGAGCTCACTCTTTTCCCAAGTATTCAGGCTGGGCAAACATTTAGAATCGGAATCCCGATGAATTAAGATGTGTATAAATCAATCTAAAGGAGAGGTACAGTCTCTATTTGAAAGCAAAATGCTTGTTGGCACAATTCTAAAAGTACAATTCAGGCATTAAATGCCTGCACCATGTTAAATGCTGAGTATTATTTATTCTGAGCAACGAAGACCACAGAAAAATTAAAAGCAGAGAAAAAGATTAGAAATTTAAGACTCCTAAACTTGGGGCATTGGTTACGTTGTTTACTTTGTGTCACTTATACAAAATTAAGTTTTACTTTTTTTTTTTAAAGGAAAAAAGCCTACAGCACTCAATATTCCCAGGCAGTAACAAGTTTTACTTTTAATCACAACTAAAGAGGTATCTACACAAATTGTAGCAAAAATCATTAGCATTATAAATTTATGTAGACAAAAGTATCATGTGCAATTACTGACTTATAGTTTGAAACTGTTACATTAAAAAAAAAAAAAAAAAAAACTATAGTTAAGGCAGAAAATGCCACTATACTGACAAGTAGCCCGAAGTCTGGTGCTCTCTTCTTGTCAATATGTGACCAATGAAAAGCAAGTTAAGCAACCTTAACCTGGGATTACCGGGTTACTGTAAAATATCCAAGAAACATTGTTAAAAATGAAAAGGCTTTTTGCTTTCCGAAGTTATTTCTCAGGGAATTTGAAAAGAAAATAAATGAAAAGCACTGTTCTCAAAGCTAGTTGTTGATAGCAAACAATTGGTAATTGTTTTGAGACACCCACTTTTTTTTTTTAACTACAAAGATACTTGACCTTAACTTAGAATACAAAATGAAACCAATCCCCATCATTCCTAAATTTAATAATTTGAACCTACAGAATGGTATAAAAAGCCTCCAACTCGTTACTCAACAAAGATTTTTGGATAAACGACTTTGGCAAAGCACCCCGGTCCAAGGAAGTCAGACCAAAAACTTTAAAAATCCTACAAAACACTCTCTAAGTTGAGTTCAGGCTCCAAACAGTATCTCACTGACCGAAATGGTTTTGCTTCCTTAGTTCTCAAGGGCCAGGTCTGCCCGGCTCTGGGTGGTAGGGACAACCCTGGGGCGACAAGTCGCTCGCGCCTCTGCCCGTCGTTCTGGGCCGAGCTTGGCCCAGAATGACGGGCAAAGGCCGGGCCACGGGCGACGCGAGGGCCTCCCTCACTCACCGTGAAGCGCTGGTCGCCAATGCTGCCCACGGAGAAGCAGTGGTCGCCAGGGTTCACAGCCCCGGTCAGCACCTGGTGCAGGTTCATGTCGGCGCCCTAGTCCTGCAACGGACACCGCATCCAGCTCATGCCACGGGTCAGCGGCCGCTTCCCTCCCTCCTTCCCTCAGGGGCGGCGGCCGCTCTTCGGTGGCGACAGCAGAAGCAGCGACAGGCGCCTGTAGCCGGAGCCGCTCAGCTGGGGCCCGCGACTCATCCCGAGCCCTGGAGGGCGAGGCCCGGAGGGGGCGGGTCGGCGAGCGGGGGGAGCGCCGGGCTCCTTAGCGCACCTGTCACTGCCCGCGCTGGCCCAGGTAAAGCTCAGGGTCCCCTCACCAGCCACGACCCGGGGCCGACTCACTGGCCAGGAAGGCCGCGCTCTCCACAGACTTCCTCTGGACCTCGGGCAGCCACTCCTGACCCAGCCCGAGTGGCGGAGGCAGAATGCGCTCGCACTCCCCGCCTGACCTGTCCCTTCCCGGCTCCGGTGCCCGCCACCCCCGCAGTCCTCCGCCACTCACTACGCGACTGTGGATCCCTGCGGCCGAAATATCGCGAGACTTCGCTCGACGAAGCTGTTACTGTGGTAAAGGATTCACTTTTTTACCACAGTATATTTATCAGCAAGTGAACATAAAAACGCCTCTTCCAGTCAGAAACTGGCCAATCCTGACCCCCGGTCCATCTAGGGCTCCGCCCACCGCCGAGGATAAGCCAATCTCTTTGAGGCTTGTACAGGAGAACGCCGTGCGTTTGAGCTTGAACATGATAAGCCTGGCAGAAGCCTGATGAACCCAGAATGAGTGAGATGTGGTAAGTTGTGCTTTAGGTTAGGGCTTAATCTAACTGTTGGGCCAGAAAATTTGAAGGGGAGAAGTGCATCCTAAATGGAGTTGCAGTTTCCTCGGTTCTGGTATGACTACAAGTCCCAATATGCACCGCTCCCCTGGCGGCCCGAGTGTCTCTTAAGTAAATGTGACCCTTGAAACGTCTACGTTAGCAGCTTATTGGTTTCTCCAGCTTTGCGCGTGTTTCCAAGTGCCTAAACGGGATGGTTTTTGAAAGGCTCGAACACTTACTTGACAAGTAGTAAAGTGGTATTTTCTTAGCCTAAGTTACCTTAACACATGATTTGAAATAGTGCTGGCAATAACAACACACCAGCCCAGCATTAAGCTTTTGTTTTCGAAAAGAACCTAGGAATTCCGGAATGATCAGAGTCACAGCTACAAACAGATTCAACTCTCATTGTATTTTGACACAAGTTTTGTATTGTAATTGACAAACATCTGTTTATGTCTCCCCCTGTATACGTAAGCCCTTTTGGGATAGAGAGAAACAGGACACAAGTGTGCCCCTAATGTCTAGCACCGCACCAGTCCCACCCATTCAAGGTGTTCTGTAAACGTTGCATGAATGTGTATAGAAACTCTCCAGATAGACCGGGCACAGTGACTCACACCTGTAATTTCAGAATTTTGGGAGTCCGAGGAGGGCGGATCACGAGGTCAGTAGTTCGAGACCAGCGTGGCCAACATAGTGAAACCCCATCTCTGCTAAAAATACAAAAATTAGCCGGGTGTGGTGGCTCCCGCCTGTAATACCAGCTACTCGGCAGACTGAGGCAGGAGAATCACTTGAACCCGGGAGCTGAGGTTGCAGTGAGCCAAGACCATACCATTGCACTCCAGCCTGGGTGACAGACACTCCATCTCAAAACAAACAAACAAACAAAACCCTCAAAAAACTCTCCAGATAGGCCGGGCATGATGGCTCACACCTATAATCCCAGCACTTTGGGAAGTCGGGCGCGGGGGAGGGTATCACCTGAGGTTGGGAGTTCGAGACCAGCTGGTGAAACCCCGTTTCTACTAAAAATAAAAAACTTATCTGGGCGTGGTGGCATGCGCCTGTAATCCCAACTACTCGGGAAAGTGAGGCAGAAGAATCGCTTGAACCTGGGAGACAGAGGTTGCAGTGAGCCGAGGTTGCGCCATTGCACTCCAGCTTGGGCAACAAGAGAGAAACTACAAAAGAAAGAAGGAAACTCCCCAAATGAAACAAGTGGTTTTTAGAATTTTACTAAATTTGTTTTTTATATGCTTTTTTTGGTAGTATAAAGACTTCAAACTATAATAATACTTGGATGGGACAAGTACTAGTAACTTTATTTCCTTTTATTTGTACTGCATTTTTTGCAATGTACATTTACTTTGTCTTGTAATAAAAAGCTACTTACGAGTTACTTTTGTAGTTCATAAGTGTGATGATTGTGTGTTCACACTTGTGTGAGATGTCCCTCCCTCAAACCTTGTGCCATCTGCACATTACCCATCTGATGTGGGGGGAAGGGAAATCCCGAAACTTACAAAAAATAATGAATTTCATTATGTATTCCAGGCTTTTCATAAGATGACGGACAAAACTTAATTTGTCTTTTTTAAGAATAGATATATTTTTGAGGTCTAACATACCTACAGTTTGACTTGTCTTTTATTATTTCAAATTATACTTCAAGTGCTTTTTAATTTTATATTTTAGAACCAGAATCAGGATTGTTGTATGTACTTGTGTGGGTCCCACATAAATTCTGTGACTGGCCCATAATTTACATGTTTACTCATTCTATTTTGCCTAGTTGTTAGTTTTGAAGAGCATTCCATATATGAGAATGAAACTGAGCAACAAGAGGCCGGGCGCGGTGGCTCACGCCTATAATTCCAGCACTTTGGGAGGCCGAGGCGGGCGGATCACAAGGTCAGGGGAGATTGAGACCATCCTAACTAACACGGTGAAACCCCGACTCTACTAAAAATACAAAAAATTATCCGGGCGTCGTGGCGGGCGCCTGTAGTCCCAGCTACTCAGGAGGCTGAGGCAGGAGAATGGCGTCAACCTAGGAGGCCGAGCTTGCAGTGAGCCGAGATCACGCCACTGCACTCCAGCCTGAGCAACAGAGCTAGGCTCCGTCTCAAAAAAAAAAAAAAAAAAAACTGAGCAACAAGAGTAGTCAGGGAATCTATGATCCATTCCTGATTCTCAAAGTAACTAGCTGTGTGACCATGAAAAAGCCTGTTTAAGTTTGTTTGTTTGTTTGTTTGAGATAGAGTTTCACTCTTGATGCCCTGGCTGGAGGGCAATGGCACGATCTCGGCTCACTGCAATCTTTGCCTCCTGGGTTGAAGTGATTCTCCTGCCTCAGCCTCCTGAGTAGCTGGGATTACAGGCATGCACCACCACGCCCGGTTAATTTGTATTTTTAGTAGAGACGGGATTTCTCCATGTTGGTCAGGCTCCTCTCAAATTCCTGACCTCAGGTGATCCACCCGCCTCGGCCTCCCAAAGTGCTGGGATTACAGGACTGAGCCACCGCGCCCGGCTTGTCTAATTTTTAAGACTGACTTTCCTCATCTGTAAAATTAGGGAGTTTAACTTGATTATTCACAACATTTTGTTTAGCAATGCCATTTCTACAGCTCTGTGCATCTGTTAGTGTTTATTTAAATTACTGGCCAGGCACAGTGGCTTGCGCCTGTAATCCCAGCACTTTGGGAGGCTGCGGCAAAAGGATCACTTGAGCTCAGGAGTTCCAGACCAGGCTGGCCACCATCGCGAAACCCCGGCTCTATGAAAAATACAGACTGGGCAACAAAGGGAGACCCCATCTTTACAAAAAAAAAAGATTTTAAAAAATGAAGTGTGTTGTGTGCATGCCTGTAGTCCAAGCTACTTGGGAGGCTGAGGTGGGAGGATCGCTTGAGCCCAGGAGTTTGAGGCCGCAGTGAGCTGTGATGGTGCCACTGCATTCCAGCTTGGGTGACAGAGAGACACCCTGTCTCAAAAACAAAATAACAACAACAACAACAAAAATGAGGTGGGCGAGGTGGCTCATTCTTCTAATCCGTCCCACTTGGGGAGGCCAAATCAGAAGGACGGCTTGAAACCAAGAATTTGATACCTGCCTGAGAAACATAGTGAGGCCCTATTTCTATTTTTTTAAAAAAACAGGCTGGGCCCGGTGGCTCACACCTGTAATCCCAGCACTTTGGGAAGCCGAGGTGGGCAGATCACAAGGTCAGGAGATCAAGAACATCCTGGCTAACACGGTGAAACCCCGTCTCTACTAAAAATACAGAAAACAAAATTAGCCAGGCATGGTGGCGGGCGTCTGTAGTCCAGCTACTCCGGAGTCTGAGGCAGGAGAATGGCGTGAACCTGGGAGGTGGAGCTTGCAGCCAGCAGAGTTTGTGCCACTGCACTCCAGCCTGGGCAACAGAGCGAGACTCTGTCTCACAAAAAATAAAAATAAAAAAAACAACAACAACAAACAAAATTCCTTTTGCCTCCAAGCTGCTGCTCCTCATGGATCATCTCCTAATGTCGTAAAACTCCCCTAATAAGGTTCTGTCGAATCCTAAATCTATTCCTGATTTATTGTGCGACTTTGACAGAATTCTGACCTTATGGGAATATTAATAAGAAGGTAGAGGAGGTGAAAGTAAACTGTAGGTTGTTTGCTCCTCATCCTTCCCTTCCTGTTTCCTTACTGCGGGTCTAGAAAACAGCACTGCATGCCTCCATTCTACTTGCTCACAGTCTCCACCTTACTTCTACCCAAGGCTCACAAATCCACCTGCTAATCCAAGAAATCCAGGAGAAGGGCCTGGTGTGGTAGTTAACGCCTGCAATCCCAGCGCTTTGGGAGGCTGAGGTAGGAAGATCCTTGAACTCAGGAGTTCCAGGTTGCAGTGAGCTATGATCACACCACTGCACTCTAACCTGAGCAACAGACACTGTCTTTAAAAAAAAAAAAATCCTGGAGAATCATTGAGTCTAATTATCCCCTCAACTATAATTGAATTGTATCAATCCATCCTTTGAATGCTCACTGACTGTGTACTTCGGTGGTTTTCATTTTTAGTTTCTAAAAAAAATAAGAGAGAAAGGATGGCTCAAAAAAAAAAAAAAAAAAAAAAAAGTCTTGCTGCGTGCAGCGCCAGTAGTCCCGGTTACCCAAGAGGCTAAGGCAGGAGAATCAGTTGAAAGTCCAGGAGTTCAAGTCCAGTCTAGGTAAAACAGTGAGATCACGTCTCTAAAAACCAAATAAAAAATTAAAAATAAAATAAAGGAAGTCTTTTCTTATATAGTTTGCATTATTACTAGCAGCAAGATCTCTTACATAACCGAAGTGCTATGTGGTTTCTGAGACTGGCAAGCCAAAGATAACTTATGTTGTCTTCAATATTAGTCTTCAAGAGGAAGGGGATTTTGTTTGTTTGTTTGTTTGAGACAGAGTCTTGCTCTGTCGCCCAGGCTGGAGAGCAGTGGTGCGATCTCGGGAGGAGGGGGAGTTTCGTAAGAGTCAGTGGGTAGTGATAGTGTAAAGAAACTCAAGCAGGCCAAATTCTGAGATTCTTGGAAAGAAAAGGAGCATATAGGAAGATAGGTCAGATTGGGAAATAATCATGCCTCTTGCCCACTCTTGATTTCTTGAAATCCTTGTCATTACCCTCCTCCCCCACCCCAAAAAGACCAATCTAAATCCCTATTCTTGGCTGGGGGCGGTGGCTTACGCCTGTAATCCCAGCACTTTGGGAGGCCCAGGTGGGCGGATCACCTGAGGTCCAGAGACCAACATGGCAAAACCCTGTCTTACTAAAAAATACAAAAATTAGGGCCGGGGGCGGTGGGTCATGCCTGTAATCCCAGCACTTTGGGAGGCCGAGGCAGGTGGATCATGAGGTCAGGAGTTTGAGACCAACCTGGCCAACATAGTGAAACCCTGTCTCTTCTAAAAATACAAAAAATTAGACAGGAGTGCTGGCGGGTACCTATAATTCCAGCTGCTCTGGAGGCTGAGGCAGGAGAATCGCTTGAAGCTATGAGGTGGAGGTTGCAGTGAGCTGAGATCACACCATTACACTCCAGCCTGGGTAACAAGAGTGAAACTCCGTCTCATAAACAAACAAATGAACCAAAAATTATCAGGGTGTGGTGGCACGTGCCTGTAGTCCCAGCTAGTGGGGAGGCTAAGGCAGGGAATCACTTGAACCTGGGAGGGGGAGGTTGCAGTGAGCTGAGATCGCTCTACTGCACTCCAGCCTGGGCCGACAGAGTGAGACTTTGTTTCAAAAAAAAAAAAAATCCCCATTCTCCCAGGGCCTCTGTCACTAGATCCACCTATAGGGGCTTTGGTCTCCACTGCCAATACTGATAGATGAGGGAAGTTAGGAGTAAGGGAACTTCTTAGTCTCATAACTAAGCCTAAATCAAGGGCAGTATGTTGCTTGAATTTCACAAGCATTCTAACCTCATTATCTCACAAAAATAATATGAGGGTCTCTGTGCAATGAAGATGTTAGTTACTCTGGAAACTTGCCTTTACTGCCAAAAGCAACCTTGCCTACAGCAAAATTCATCAGGAATAGTATAGATTATATAGATATTTGATAGCCAGGGGTAGTGATGCATGCTTGTAGTCCTAGCTACTTTAGAGGCTGAGGTAGGAGGATTGCTTGAGCCCAAGAGATTGAGGCGGCGATGTGCCATGATTGGCACCACTGCACTCTAGCCTGCATGACAGAGGAAGACCCTGTTTCAAAAAGAAAAAAAGAAAAAAAAAGAATTTGTACAAATAATCCAAATTTAGAAAGATGTGAACAGGAACTACTGTATATTCTTATTTTTTATGTCTTCTGCCTGAGGGAAGTGGAAATAGCTGCTAGAGAGGGACAAAGAAAGAATTATATACACGTACACACACACAAACACTTTTTTTTTTTTTTTCTTGAGAAGAGTCTCACTCTGTCACCCAGGCGGGAGTGGAGTGGCACCATCATGATTCACTGCAGCCTTGACCTCCTGGCAGGCTCAGGTGATCCTTCCGCCTCAGCCTCCCAAGTAGCTGGGACCACAGGTACATGCCACCATGCCCAGCAAATTTTCGTATTTTTTGTAGTGATGGGGTTTTGGCATGTTGCTCAGGCTGGTCTCAAACTCCTGGGCTCAAGTGATCCACCCACCTCAGCCTCCCAAAGTGTTGGGATTATAGGCATGAGCCACCATGCCTGGTCACACACACTTTTTATATGAGGAATGTAAGCGCTTTTAAATTATCAGGCCCAGAAAGGCATTAAAATGAGACAGCATTCATATCCTATCTCTCTCCTTGAACTGTGTAATCTCTTGAAACTGCTTTCACAGCTGGGGTTGGTGGCTCACGCCTGTAATCATAACACTTTGGGAGGCCGAGGTGGGCGGATCAACTGAGGTAGGGAGTTCAAGACCAGCCTGGCCAACATGGTGAAACCTGTCTCTACTAAAAATACAAAAATTAGCCAG